ACGCCTGAAAACACTCTTAGCATTTAGGTCATCCGTTTAACTTTATCACTAATACTCAGTCACCCTCATAAAATATTGGCGGAACCTTCATTCAGTCAGCATCACGCGGCTTTAAAAATGCAGATTTTGAGTGGGCTTTGGTTAGTCACCATGAATATCCATGAGTATCCCGGTACTATAAGAGCTCTAGATCTGGTGCAGCATTAATAATAATAATGCATAACATAAAAACATTTATTCCTATGGGTTTTTATTCTCTTTCGCACTCCCCACCCCAAATCTCCCCTCCACGCTCTCACCCTCTCTCTCTCTCTCTCTCTCTCTCTCACCTTTTTAAGTTAATTAAATCTAAGATATCTAACATGAAGGGGAAAGAATTAATACCTTGCCAATCCTTTGAGGAATTTTCCCATAGCCATGAAGTCTAACTGGTCAGAGCAATTGAACACTACACACTGAATAGCTATGGCCTTTGCAAGATCCTTAAAAAAACAGAAATTACAGCAATTTAATTAAGAAATGTTTTTTTAAGAAAAAAATAAAATAAAACCGTTACTAAACATATATTGTAGCCGTAGGGCTAGGATAACGTATAATTACGTTTTGGTTGAGATTTCAGGTCTAACGTGATCACGAATGATATTAAATTTCATTCTACTAGCTAGCTAGGCTAGTTAATATTTCATCAAGCCACTGATTTAGCCGATTCAACCGTGTCTACATTCCACGCAATAGGGAGAGTACATCACATCTGAAACGTATGCATTACGATTTCATGTACAAAAATTAGCAAAAATAATAACAAATCTCACTTTGGTTGTCTCTGTCTTTCCGGTTCCAGCTGGGCCAGCAGGAGCACCGCCAAACATAAGGTGAAGGGCACCCGTCAAGGTCAGGTAGCAGCGGTCAGTAAGCGGAGTGATGACCAATCGGCCAGTGTTGCCCAGGTACTCATAACCGTATAGGAACTCAGAGTTGACTGCACGTGCGTACAGATTATCACTTGTCCAGTAGTACCTGCAAAAATGTGTAAACGTCTAAATTCGCACCACAACATACTTATCACTGATACTAAATCAAAACTACACCCCTTACACCGACTAGAATCACAACCGGGAACAAGTGGGAGTCCATTTCTTAATATCTTCTTAATATCTTAATAATATCTTAATAATTTATTAATATGTACATGCTGCATAACGTATACGTACTGAATAAATTGATGAGTATTAATGCTAGAGCATATTTATATTTGTACAATAATATTAAGGGTCATTCGTAATTATCAACATTATCCCACACATACAGATTGTACCCTATTAAATGACACATAGTCCTGCTCATATGGTCTATGTCCTTCAGGGTACTGCCGGAACGTACCCAAGTGGCAGCCTTGCTTTGTCGGTCCAACTGGTAGCCAAGACGTTTTGCGCACGATCTCCGGGGATCTTCTGGTGGCGGGGCAGGACGCGTGGATGGGCATGTACACATGCGGTACTGGACGTCACAAGAGTGTATGGGGCTGTCTTGAGCCTGGTTTCTAACAAGTGAGTAGTCACGCAGGAGGCCGAGTGTGAGACTGTGTTTTCTGCTGCGCGAAGGTCGCAGGCAAACATTTATCACTCCCGAACTACTACAAAGTGCTTTTAAACTCAGAGTAATGGCTAACCACTGACACACCCGCGCGCCCCCGCTACGCATAGGAGTTGTGTTTCACTACACATTTCGCACCGCACTGTTAAGATGCTGTTCAAAGTGGTTGTTATATACATATATATATATATATATGTATGTAGTGCCTCCATATATATACTATATATATATATATTATATTGTATATATATCAGGGGGAAAATTTTTTTTTTTCACGGGAGCTTTTTTTCAAGTATGGAAAAATAGCTCATCAAACATTTTACGGGAGCTATTTTGAGCCTCACGAGAGCGATTTCCGAGGTTTTGAAGAGCCGAATCGGCTTCATTGCTCCAGGGTGTATTTTTTACCCTGATATATAATATATAATCTATTGCTCGGGTATTTTATATTGTTTGCAATCACTGAGTGACAACACCTATTACATTGTGGTTAAACTTTGGGATATTATAATGTTGGTTAGTAAGCTTGTAATAGTAAGATGATACTTTGGCTATGGCTACTAGATTAAATTTACATTGTTTTCTTTTTACCAGAAAGGGGAAGGGCAGGTTCAGCCTACATTTTTAGTCTCCTCTGACATAGTCAGATGGCAGGCTTGTAGGAATGCATGATCGTTCCGTGCTGCGTTCGTGCGTCCGTCCGAGGTTACAGCGTCCGTAGGGCGTCGTCCCGTGTCGTCAACAGTTTTGGGCACTAAATTTTAACCGCCTTCGCCGTAGCGGTCCACAGAGTATTCGGGACGTGGGGGGGTAATTCCGAAACGATGTCGGGATGGTCGAAGCTGGGGGTTCAAAGGTCAAAGGTCAAGAGGGTGTAAAAATAAGGGGCGAACATTCACGTCTTAACCTAAGGTATAGGAGGGAAATGCAAGAATTGGCGGCAGCAAACTAAACGGCTCGGACCTAGCTTGTGATAGTGCGGTGTATAAGATCATGGTAGGAAAAGCCATCACGGTGCTGAAATTGGAGGTCACAGGTAAAGGTCAATGGCAAGGGCAATTTTAAGACATTTCTGAGGAACATGGTCTGACGGAGCAATTGAAAAAAACTTTTTTTGTATTCAGGCGTGACCTACCATTTGTTATGGGCTTTATTGAAAGACCTATGGAAAAAAAAATGTGCTTTCCACTGACGTGCGAAGAGTAGTTGTCTGAATAACCTTTTTTGACCGCCTGAAGAGGGAGGGATTTAAACATGGATTTGGTTAACTGGTTAGCTTGTGTTAGAAGAATTTGACTGCTGGTTGGCTAGTCAGAATGCTATACATGGCATGGAGGTATGAGGCTACAAGGCACAGTGAAATTTCAAAGCGTAAATTTGCTTGAAGAAAGGGTTTTATGCTCCTTAATCGTATAATTTCTATGGCATTCTCACACTGTCAGTTGGTGGTTAATTATGCACTGCCAGTGGCGCACTGCCAGAGATGTGTGAGTGGTGATAGTATGTGTAGTTTTTTGCTCTGCGGTTTATTAGGGATCACAAGGTGGCAGTGCAGCTCGTCTATTGCAGCCTGTAGGAGGGTTAATCATGGATTTGTTTGTCAACTGCGTTTGGCGCAGATACCTGTGTTGATAGGGAAACGCTCCAGGTTTTACAGCTGAAATTCCACAGCATAACATCTTACTATGAACAATGCTTACTTAGGAGATAATGAGGAATGAGTTATTATAAGTGCAGGATTCGTAGACTGGACATTATTGAATAAGTGTGGAAATAGTCACTAGCCTCAAAATAATTACGCCAGGGGAGTGCGCTGTGGATTCCCAGCGTTCAGAGTTTTGCTCATCAAATGTTTGGCCCAAATATGAGACGGCAGGAATGTGGTACGTTCTTGAGGCTATTCGGGATCCATAATCACTGGCTTACCTCCTTGTTTTGTTTTTGTGTTTTAATAGGTTGGGTCCAATGCAACCATAACAGCATAGTTTTCAGGCCACCCCGATTTTGTATCAACGCAATGCGGATTTGGGGAGTTATCGATATGCAGAAGGTTTGGGCTGAAAATGAGTGTACGCCAAGTGCGTATCTGCATGATCTGCCGCCCGCGCTAAACGTAAAGGTGTCATACCACAACTTAAATGTTACGGTTTATAACCGTGGCAACAGACTCAGATGAGACCGCAGACGCTCTGCGGCTCTGTGGTGTGGGTATGAAAATTTTTGTGAGTCGTTTCTCCCCAATTTTAGTATTCACATAGATTTTGACTGTAAATGGCTGCATTGTTATGGCATTATCAAATTGTCAATATGATTTAAATAAAGTTGAGCGTAGCCATTTCTCAAATTTAAATACAGTGGCTGTCACGACGCGTTGGTGTCACACTGTGCCGGTAACTCATGGGTGTCACCCCCATGGAGCCTGCCTCCCGCTACGGCAGGCCATATCGATCCTTAGTAATGTTTTTTGTACTACATGGTTACTCGAGTATCCTAATTCCCGGTATATCACTGATGTACATTGGGCAAAGTAGTGACATAAACAACTTAAAAGTTACGACAATCAAGGACGCCGCGTTACTGTATTTATAATTTACAGTAGTTTCAATGTGAGTTAATATGCGAAATTTATAGAGCAGTCGCATTTGGGCGTCACCCCCTCTGATGGTTTCAACCGGCGCGTCCGCACCCCTGGTGGCGGCCACTGTATGAAATATCATATTTGTGAGCAAGAATTATCCTCGCTGTTAGTATTGGGAGACTAGTCCTGCCTAATCATCAGAAAATCCATTTCAGATTCTTGTAATGACATTCGTTAACAGCTGACAGCTTCCCGTTTTTCTGCTCACGTTTATTTTGTCCATTATTGTATTCATGTTTATTCTGTATTTATATAATTGACCTGTCAATGCTGAATTTTAAAAGGTATTTCTCTGATTTTGCTACAATATAAATGGTGGGCTATATGACTCCCTCTCCCACGGTGCGTAGGGCTTAGCCCCTGCCAGGAAGGAAAATCACGAAACTCTCACGCTGCCATCTATGAAAAAAATTTATAGGTCGCCTTTGTCTGCGATTGTTTTTATTAATGCCAGTACTATTGGAATGGGGGCAAACCCAGTAATTGCTAGGATCTTTGTTCAAGAACTTCAAGTATAAGTTTTAACAAATCCCCAATTGAGTTTTATTGTTAAACTTAATTGGCTTTCATTGTATATACGTTGAGATGTAGTCATGGTGATTTAGTAATTGGTTTTCCAAGACTAGCAAGTGATATTGCATTCACTGCGAATGTCATCTGACTGACAGTTCAACCCTGTATTTCCTGACTCTGTGACGCTTGTGCTTGAATTTTTTAGGCATCTCTGCGTTGCACACAAATGACGGCAAATCTGCCACGCTGGATACCTTTAGAGTTTTATGGCCACGGAAGGCCTTGGTTAGCTTCCTGTGTTTAGCGACACGTAGCGATTGTTTTTACGATAATTGGGAGACTCTGTCTTTAGATGGCCAGAGGAAGAGGGCCTAAGGGGATGGTGCATGTTCATCCCCGTTCAGGGATATAATATACAGTAACTTGTCGAGGAAGCAATCCATGAAACATATTGTGGGTCACTTGTCACTGGGCATTGCTATATAGTTGAAGCTAATGTGAAAACTATGCCATTAAAGTAGTGTGCAGTAGCCCTGCTAAACTGTCTAATTCGACATTACAAACTTAAACGCTAAAAAATCAGACCCCCTAATTTTAAATGAGCCTAACGTCCGCAGGTTTACAATATGAGCTATATACCCCCTCACTGTCGGAATCTGGCACTGTGTGGGGGAAAATGCTCTGGCGTCTCTCCTGTTGAAGTGGGTCGGCAAAATACTACTATGTCGATATTTTTTGATTTTTTGTGTTATTCTGTTTTTTGCGGTGTGTACTTCTCGGGAATGTGTGTGCGTTATTTTACATTTTTATTTACTCTGGTGCGTTTTGCGATACGTCTGTCGGCAATATTTCACGGTTTAGTTGCCTGCTTTATTTTGCCAATTAGGTTATTTTGTGCCCATTTGTTTACCTCCGTGGTCTATGCCCTACTACGTTGTTGTCAGCAAATTGCGTGCGTGTTAGTTTGCCTATTTGTTAACTCTGCGTTCATACCATACGGTCTGTCAGCAATATGTTTCACGTTATTTTGCCTATTTGGTTACTCGCACGTTTCTTGGCAATGTTTCTGGCAGGCGCTTCCATACCCTCCGTTCCATCACTTTCATTCGTTTCCATTCGTATCTATCTGGCATTTCTTCGCGTTTGGCTTCGTCGTCGTGCGCGCTTCGACGTGCTGCTACTGCTGCTGCGCGCTGTGCGTCCGTCGTGCTCCGGCAGTTGACGAGTCTGCGGGAGCTTGTGCGTGGCCGACCTCAGCCGCCGATCGAGCGAT